AGGGCAGAGCTCCCTGGAACCCAGGTCTCCATTTTTCCTGGGCCAGAGGAGGGACTAATTGGCTACAGGGTTCCATTGGCTTCATGGCAATGCTGTGTGCCTATGGGACATCAGGCCCCCGGGGTTTGGGAGGATGAAGGGCATGAATGGGCTTCCCACTGATGGGAAGGACTGGCCAACTTCTAGAGTGCCAGGGTATCCAGGGGGCACAGCATGGTAGCAGTCAAGGATGATGAGGGGGCTCAGGGACTGCTGAACATGCAGGGGACCTAGCTTGGACTCCTGTATCCTCTCCATGTCTTCCTTCAAGCCTGCCTTTGTTTAGCGCCTTATCACTGGCATTTCTGGGTGCCAGGGCATTATCCTAAGGGTACCCCAGGAAGGTGTGTGGTCAAAAGTCTCCTAGAAAAATGGACTGTTGTTCTTTGGAGACCCAAGCTCAACTCCAGTCTGAAAGAATGGGGCCCAGGGGAAGGGTTTAGCTTCCTGGTGGGCTCCCATTGACATAGGGTCTGTGCCTGGGGCCAGGGAGCAACACACTGTGGGGCTGTACCAAGGAAGGAAGTGGCTCCAGGTTATGCAGTTCAGTGTTCTTGGGACTGTGGCAGAAGAGGTGTCTTTTTGGACCCATGCACTCAAGGGAAGGATGCGTGATTCTCCCACATGCTGGCCAATGCACAAAGACTCCTGTAAGGGCAGCTTGATGGTAAGTGTGCCTTGGGCCCAGAGCCTAGTCTAGCTATCAGACCCTGCTGGGACTCCTTGATACAGGAGGGGGCAGTGGAATGCTGAATCCATGGGGTCATAGGCATCTCATCCTGTCCCTTGTTCCCAGGGACCCACAAGTGCACCTTTAGACACTGGGCTTGCAGGACTGGTGGTCACAGCTGCAGATAGGGGTCACCTTTGGGGATGGAACACTGGGGTCCATATAGGAAATGACTGTGTGAGCCTGCCCCAAGGCTGGCATCCTTCCCCCTCCTCAGCTGTTTTCCTCTTTCATCCAGGTCATGCTCCCGACAGAAAGAACGCCTTGATCCTCCTGGCAGCAGCCTAGCCCTGACTTTGCCAATCCTCAAGGCCCCTTGGCACACTGACCTGGCGTATCCATCTTGGTAAGCCAATCCAGGTGCCAGTGCCAGTGAGAGGATGTATGGGGAGAGGACCATCTAGGTTTAGGTTGATGATGATACCTTTATTGTCTTGAAAAGAGATAAAGACATAAAAATCATGCTCAATAGGATTATGATGAAGCCCAGGCTAGGGGACATTGGTGGAAAAGGATCTGGGTATTGCTATGTCCCTCTTAAAGAGAGTGGTCACAATGGGGGCCATAGACCTAAAGGCCCCACCAGGCATCCCAGGAGGCCCAAGCCTTTGGAGGTGCTTCTCAGTCAGGCCCCAAAACTCCATACTCAGAATGTGGGCACTGGCTACTCTGGGCACATGACAAGTCCCAGAGCCAAGCTTTTGCTCAGCTCCTTTGTCCTCCTTTTCCCTTCCAGTGAGAGAAGCAGAGCAGATGGATGCCTCTGACAGGCCAGGCACAGGTGAGCAGATGGCCAGGGTCATGGGGCTATATTGCTGCTGCTAGGAGGAATGAAGTGTGAAGCCTGGGTCAAAATTGGTGGAGGCCTTTACCATGGCCACTGGCTACCCTGAGATGCCTTGTCCAGGAGGGTTGCCATTTGGGGATTTCCCTGCTAAAGGTCACTTTCTCTTCTTGACCCTTCATGGTGATGGGGCAGAGGCTAATCATAGATGTTGATGTGAAGGGATGGACAAGTATGTTCCCAATTAGGCAACTGCAGTCACCGGGCCAGAGGAGGGACTTGTTGGCTACAGGTCACTGCCACTGGTTTCATGGCAGCAGTATGTGCCTATGGGGCATCTGTCCCTGGGGGCTGGGAGGATAAAGGCATGAATGAACTTACCCCTGATCAGAGGGACTGGGCAAATTCTGGAGTGCCAGGCATCCAGGGGGGCATGCATGATAATGGGCAGGGATGATGAGGGGTGGGGTAAAGGGCATGGTCTGTATTCAATTTATGGGTACAGGAGGAGGTTTAGAGAGATTCCATGGGATGTAGTACAGAGGCACATGTGGGTGTTTGGCTGTGGTCATGTGCCTTGAATACTTTTGCTGATAGGATGGAAACATGAGCCCAGCAGCAATTGTTAAGTGTTCAGCTGCAGCCAATTGCCCTCTTTGATCTCTTATTTGAAGTTCAAGTTAGATCTTTTGTCAAGGTTTTTCCTGTCTTTCTGTGCATGTGTTGTGTTGTTATTGTTTTTTCCCCATTTTATATGTGCATTCTTACTGTCATACTTTGTGTAGGATGTGTCTCCCAATATCTCTTTTTTAATGGTAGAATATTTGGAGGTCTTTTGTTTTATATTTGAGTGACATAAAGTCATCAGTTCTTTCTAGTCTTTTTTAAATAATATTTTTTTAAATTTTTTAAAATTGTAGATGAACACAATATCTTCACTTTTATTTATTTTTATGTGGTGCTGGGGATCGAACCCAGAGCCTCACACGTGCAAGGCAAGTGCTCTATCACTGAGCTCTAGCCCCAGCCCCAAAATATTTATTTTTTAGCTATAGGTGGACACAATATCTTTATTTTATTTTTATATGGTGCTGAGGATTGAACCCAGTACCTCATTCATGCTAGGTGAGTGCTCTGCCTCCGAGTTACAACCCCAGCCCCAGTTCTTCCTAGTCTTAATGGTTTGATTGGATTGTAACTGTACCTAATTGAAATGTTCCTGCAAGAAGTAGATTATTAGTTGTCTTCCCTGTAAGTGCTCATCTTCCTTATATATCTTTTTCTTTTTCCTTCTCTCCTTGATGCCTGGCTGCCATAATGGATGTTTACTCATCCAGCTTGCCCTTCTACAGTCAAATTCTTCCTTACCTGTAACTACGTTTAATGGACTGTATTATCCTTGGAGTGATTATCTGAACTGTGAGTACTAAAAATTTCCCTCCTCTATGTTTCTCTTGACAGGTTTTTTTTTACAGTGACCCAAATCTGATTAATACAAAAATTGGTACCAAGAAGTTGGGTCCCTGTTGTAACTAACCTGACCATACAGTTCACAATCCTTTGGAGTCAGTTTGCAGAGGAATTTAAAAGGTTTGGAGATAAAGCCTGTAGAAGGTCTCAGACATTTTATGAATAGCCTAAAAGGTGACTCAGTTTGGCTCAGAATACCATAATTCTGATAGAAATGTGACCTGTGTTCATAAGGTTTCATCAGGAAAGGGGAACTTGGTTGGGACTAAATAAAGGCCATTCATGTTATATCTGGCAAAAAAAAAAAAAAAAAAAAAAAAACTTACCTATAGTTTACCCGTGTCTTGAGACGTTGTTTGAGCCTGAATTTAAAGATGATGAACAAATTAATTTATGTTACTGACAACATTTTAACCAGGTTTACTGTGAGTTTCCAGGGCAGAACATAGAAATGCAAGATTGTAAAAACTTGAGTTTAGCTAGAAAAGTTTGTATAAAACTGAGGCCAAGGAAGATGTGGTTGTTAAAGTGATCACAACCAATAAAGATTTGCTAATTACTTTACACAGAGATAATAGGAAGATGCCTTGACAGCATCTCAGTAATTTGTAAGACCATATCTATTGCAGGTTCAAGAGTCTTGAAAGAAAAATTCCTTGGAGAATAGATTATGGAAGTGCCCTGCTTTCACCAAGGGGCCTAGAAAGTTTTTCATCCAGTATATTGAGCTGCCCAGGCACCAAGAAGCTGCTGTAGCTGTGATTCTAGGTGGCCCAGATATTGCATGAGTCGGCAGTAGACTTTGGCATAATCCACATGGTTTTGGTTCTTCAGGAGTGCAGAATGCTGGAATTAAGGTGTTGTGGGAGCTTCCATTGATATTTCAAAGGAAGTCTTGTAAGGCCAGGCAAAGTGTAACAGGATCAGAGTCCCTGCAGGCTGCTGTGGAGAAAGTGATGGGTGAAGCTGTAAAGTCAAAGTCTGAATGGATACCCAGGAATTAAGAGATGCCAGTAACAAGGACGGACCATCTGCTAAGGAAAGCTTCTGACTGTGGAGGAAGCCAGGCTAAAAGAGAGTCTATGTGCATGCTGTAATTAGCAATGTCAAAACAGCCAGGAGCCCTTGCTCTGCTGGAGTTCTTTAGAGAGCACATCTCACAGCTATGTGTCCTAGAGGCTTTAGGTGGAGTTGCACTACCTTTTTGCCTGGCTGGGTTTCAGTTTTGGTTGGACCCCATCCCTTCTTTCCATGTCCTTATTCCTCCTATTGAAATTGGAATGTTTACTCTGTGCCACTGTATATTGAATATATATCTTACAGTTATAAGATGTATTACAAGAGCTCACAGTCAAGAATTTGCCTTGAGTCTCAGAGGCGAAGACCTTGGATTTGGATTTTTCAACTGTTAAGACTACGGGATTCTTGGAGATGAAGTAAATGCATTTTGCATTGTGTGGTTGACATGAACTTTTGAGGGCCAAGTATGAAATGTTATGCTTTGGACATGAGATCACTGATAAATTCCCCATGAATGTAGGACTATGGTAATGGAGGAGATCCAGTATGCCTATGAAACTAAAATTTAATAATTTGATGACCAAAACAATGCCAAATTTTCAGCTCCTGAGTATCATGAGACATTATTATTTTCAGAATATTGAAGGTACATGTTAAAAATTATGACAGTTGTTTCTAATATGAAAATGATGCTAACCAGATCTCCAATTCATGAATTCATTATTGGTTCTCCTCAATGCCTAATTGGCGCGCTTGATGGTATCTTCACTTCTCACTGAAATTTTCAGTTCTATTGCTGTTTACCCATTCTTGTCCTCCTAGATAAGGAATACTGAGCAAGAACCTGCTTTGTCAACTCCTGCCACTCAGGTATGCTGCAGTGAATCTAATGAGTCTCCTGTCCCTTTGAACCATGGTTTCAGGATGCCATTCTGGTAGGTGTTTACAAAGCAAAGTGGATATATGTGTAGAGAATATCTTAAGGAGACATGATGATGTAAAAATCATGCTCAATGGGACTATGCTAAGGCTCAAAATAGGCAAAAATCCTGGCAACAAGGTGTAAGAAGTAATTAGATTTGGAGAGGGGTATTCATTTCAGGATAAGAATGAAGAAACTTTGAAGTGTATCTTGTTTTACCTGCCTCTCTTTGTTTCATAGAGAATATTCATATTCCTTTATTCTGATCTTCATATCTTTATTTTTATTTCTCATAAATTGGATGTTTTAGCTTATTTTTCCTCCTTGTGTGCTTCAGAGTGTTCATCCAGAAAAGAAATGCCATTACATGCATTAGATATGAATTCTTCCATAGTGATTAAAGATTAACAGGTAGACTATTTGACTATTGAAGTCTAGCCTTTGAAATGATTATAGCCAGGCCTCGTGGCACAAGTCTTGTAGTCCTAGCTACTCAGGAGACTGAGGCAGGAGAATCACTTGAACTCTGGGCAGAATAACAAGACCCCATCTCAAAAAAAGAAAGGGCGGGGAGGGAGGAAGGAATAAAAGAAAGAAGACATTCCATGCATTCATTTATGCAAAATGAATGATAACCTGTTCTTCCCAATGAGTGACTGATGAATACTCATTAAACTCTTTCCACCTAAACAAAACATGCTTTGATTTTGATTTGAAGATAGGATGTTTTGTAATTCATTGCAATTATCTCTTCAGTGATTCTATATGCACAAATTAACAATCTGTTTCTCTTATTCTATTCTGTGGATTACTATGGTATTATAATGTTTTTGGATCATTGAGCACTATTTACAACTGAAAGACTTTGCAATTTCAGAGAATTGTTTGAGACTGAGGCACAGTCATTCCTCCATAACTACAGGAAATTGATTCCAGGATCCCATGTAGACACCAGAATCTGCGGATGCTCAAGCTCCTTATATAAAATGGTATACTATCTGCATATAATGCAACCCTCCTGTATATTTTAAATCATCTCTGAATCATTTACAGTACCTAATACAATATAAATGCTTATATAACAATTTAGTTTTATATGTAAATAGTTATTATACTATATTGCTTAGGGAATGATAACAATACAACAAAAGAGTTGGTACATTTGCAATACAGATGCAACCATCGTTGGCCTAACTACATAGTACACAGTCCATGGGTATTTTAATTATGGATGCAAAACCCACAGATACCTAATCTATACTGTATATAAGCCACCATTTACTGAAATTGAAAGCAATGATTAGTCTTAAGTCCTATTTTCACATTCTGAGTCTTATGTAGTTTCACTATATTCAATAAAAGGTATACATATGTTATATATGATGCCAGTATTACTAATATAATTACTAATATAGGTACTTGCATATGTAACCAAGTGATGAAAGTAATATTTCATCTGTAGGTAAATCATTCCTTGACATGAAAACCTAAGATCAAAACACATGAAACCTATTTGCTTTGTCCTTACTGTAAGTGGCCAATCAATGTTCTGTAGCTTTTATAGTAGTTCATATTTGGAGTATCAAACATATCAGTCTTATAAAATTAGAAGTAGCTGTCAGGTGCCATATATACATAAGAGATGTAATGCTTCCCTTTGACTATGTTCTTATTCCTATCTCCTAGAAAAAGACTACTAAGGAAGGAATTTTTTACACTGTTGTACTCATGGGGCAATTTGTACCACCAAAGTGTCTGACAGTAAATATGTGGCATCTGGTTGACTATAGTACCAGTGTTTAAAGATCCATTTCTGGTAAGTATATTACACCTAAATATATGAGTGCCATGACTTTGCTCAATGATGATATGTTATCTTGAACAAAAGTGATGGCTCAAAAGTCAGGCTCATTTGGATTATGCTGAGGCCCAGCTTAGGTGAGAATTGTGAGATAAGACTTTTGGATTTTTTGGTTTCTTTTCATGAGAATTTTATTTTGGGTTTCCAATGATGAAGTCTCCTGTGAAACTCGTTTTCATTCTAAATACATTTTTTCTAAATGCTTCTAAGTCAAATTATGATCAAGTTTTCTATAATTCCAAATTTTCTTGAATATTTGGCACTAAGATATTGGCTTTTTTCTCTCTCATCTCATGTTTCAGTGAGTCCTTCTGGCACTATTCTACTGAGCAGAGGTGAAAGGCTACCTTTGCTGGCTAAAAAATTCCAAATTAGACCATTGGATTAGTGAAGACTCACCTCTATAATAATTATTTATTCATTTAGACAGTATATCATTATAGGGTATATAATATCATTATAGGATATATATATATCAAGGTTTATAGGGTATATCATCTTCACAATGATTGAAACATGAGAAAATTCTTACATTTATCTATAATTGCTTTTATGGAAGGTTGGGAAATATCATATGTTGGAATTATGCTCAGTGTGTTATAGTTATTTGGGGTCTCAATACACTAATAGAAAAAAATATTAGTACTGAATTTTAACAGTGTTGGGATATTTTTTGATCACTGATGGATTGCCTGTCACTGAAGACCCTTGCAACTAGGGTAAGAAAATGAGTTTCATTAATGTTTCTTCAAAAAAATTGAAATTGGATAAACTGATGAACACATTGGTTCCTAATTTTTATCTCCCAAGTTCCTGTATTTTCATTATAATGAAAGTGTGTATGTGCTATGAGTAAAGTCAAATGTTAATAAGACCCTTGGGATAATCATGGCCATTTGTTGAGGCAAGACAATTACCATTATAGGTTATTCTTCTCAGTGAGTAACTTGTAGGCTTGATAGTATTCTTGAAAAAAAAATTATTTTTTCACTGAAATTGCACTGATAGAAAGTTGACAAGTTTTATGATTATAAGTACAATTCAAAGGTCTAATATTCATTTGATCTAAATACAGATGTTAATGTATTAACCCCAAATGTATGTCAGGATGAAAATGTTTCTGGTTCATTAATGACTCAGAACATAAAGACAATGACATAATGGCTATATGTTTGAATTCTAATATATATTTCAATTTATTCATAAAATGAAATGCAGTTATGAGTAGTCAGCTATATTTTTAACTGAGTGTTATGTGGCTCCACTAAGATCATTATATGATAAATTACAAGCAATAGATAAAATCAATAACTATTAATATAGCTTCCATTCATATGTAAATAAGGTTGATCAATTAAAGTTCTTGTTTCTGCCTTAAACAACTTTATAGGTTCTCCAAATTCAAGCAATTTTATATTTAGCCTTTATTCTATAGCATCTATAGTGGATAATTTTTCAGTATAAAGCAAATATCTCCATTAAGAAATAGCATGCATGAGCCATACATATTTTCCTCTTGATCTTGCTCTTCTTTCCTTAGGTAATGAAGACCAGTTTTGGCTTGTTGACACCAGTACAGCTGACACATCCAAGTACCTGTCTTGTTTCCTGTCAACTTCAATCATGGTTTAACAATACCATTATAGTAGGTATTCTCAGAAAAAGTGAATGAATGTATGTAGATGGTTTGTTTCAATGGTTTGTTTCAATGATAAGACCTTATATTTTCTTGAGGACATTGATGGCATAAACCAGGTGGCCCTTGTCTTTGTAGTGGGCTTAGTTAATTTATTTGAAGAGGGGAAGGGGTTATGGTTCCTGATTTTGTGGGTATTTTTGTTTTGTTTTGTTTTACAGGATATAAAATTTCTCCCTTTTTATCTTTTCCCCTTTACCAAATGATACCCAAAGGGAATAATTTCCCCCTTGCATTTTTCCTTCCCTGGAAGTATACATTTAGAAGACTGACTCTAAATTGTATCCTTTAAAATCATGCTTACCTCTTTAAATTAAGTCTGATTCTTTAAATCTTGCACTGGGCCATCTGACTGTTTACATCTAGTATAACTTAAAGTCTCCTTCCAGTAGTCAGAGATTCAGTCTGTCCACGTCATTTATGTGCAGGGTTTCCATGGCTTATATGTGGAGAAGACTAATTTCTAGAGTCACTGCACTATCCTGCAGGTCCCTCAAAGTGCTCTTCAACTTCTGTTGGGTGTGTGGACATGGCATTGGGTCTGTTGCTTTATTTCTTTTTACTCAGTTACTTTTAAATTCTTGTATGTTCTGTCTTTAAGTAATGTTGAGATGTACCTTTGCAAAAAGTTTTGTACCTGTGTGTTTTAGTCAGCTGTTTTGCAGCTGTGACCAAAAAAACCTAACAAGAACATTTAAAGGAGGAAAAGACTATGTAAGGACTCAAGGTTCAGAGGTCTCAGTCCATAGATGACTGACTACCTTCCTCAGGGCCTGAGATAAAGCAGAACATCATGGCAAAAGTGTGTGGCCGAGGAAAGCAGCTGGGAACATGGTACCAGGAAGCAGAGAAAGAGCTCCATTCAACAAGAACAAAATATATATCTCAAAGGCACACCCCCAGGGACCCACCTCCTCTAGCCACAGCTTATCTGCCTACAGTTATTAACCAGTTATTCCCTGTCACAGGATTAATTCACTGATTGTGTTAAGATTCTCATAACCGGGCTGGGGATGTGGCTCAAGCGGTAGCGCGCTCGCCTGGCATRCGTGCCGCCCGGGTTCGATCCTCAGCACCACATACCAACAAAGATGTTGTGTCCGCCAAGAACTAAAAAATAAATATTAAAAATTCTCTCTCTCTCTCTCTCTCTCTCTCTCTCTCTCTCTCTCTCTCTCTCTCCCCCCTCTCTCACTCTCTCTTAAAAAAAAAAGATTCTCATAACCCAGTAATTTCACCTCTAAACTTTCCTGCATTGTTTCATACATGTGCTTTTGGAGGATACCTTACATACAGACCATAACATTGTAAAAACTATTTGGTAACATTTGGAGCAGACATTTTGCTAGAATTATTACTATACCCCTCCATTATTTTTGACTTTTCAAAAATCTTGCTTTTTTCCATTGAGGAATTTTATTTGAATTACATTCCTACAAAAAGAAACCCAGGATTTTCCCTCCTACATCTTTGTGGCCCATTATGCCAGCTGAGGTCATTAGTACAAAGAAACCAAACTGATGGGATGAGAACAGATTCTTTTGCCATTTTTCT